CAGAATATAAGATTGGAGTGATGAGACATGATTTCAAATGCAGACTCAATCTCCTGTGTGTGATCTTAGGTGAGGGGATAATTATGCTTGTATGACCACAAGATTGAGAGGCTTAAGTGAGATTATGATCAGGTGCCCGGCATGGGATCCTGAACATAGCAGGAACACTATAAATGTAATTCATTTTTCCCCACACCTTCATTTATTCAACAAATATTTTTAGAGAAGTTAATTTTCTGCCACAGATAATGCCTTCATCAGCACTGGCCACATTATGCTGCAATAATAAAGACCACCCCTCTCCCAAACCCCCTGCCTTATCCAAATCTCTGTTGCTTAACACAGCAGAAATTTACTTCTCCCATTCACCTCGAAGTCTGCTACATGTGTAAGTAGCTTTATAGGGCACCTCTCCTCCATATGGCAATTGCTTCATTCTTTCAACCGAACAAACTTAACACAAGACCTCAAAAGACTCCCTGCAGCAGAAATAGTGCTATCCAGAACTTCTTTTAGTTGATTCTGCCTGGAAGTGACATACATCAACTGCTTGCAATCCATTGGCTAGAACTAGTCCCGTGGTCTCTCCCTTACTATAACGGGAAGAAGAAAGAGTCTTTTTTTCTCTGCCTACAGGGAAATAAGACCACTTGTGACAAGTGGTGTCTACCACAACTTGGTTAGACACCGCGTATTTGGTATTAGTAGGGAACAACACAGACATCGTTTATTTTTCCCCTGTGGGGCTGTCAATGAGTGACGCACTACTGGGAAAGCTGTAGCATCAGTGAAGAGCCAGGCTTCTGCCCAGATGAGACAAGGAACTAGATCAAAGAGATTGCATTCAATAAGTGTAAAGTTATGTAGGGAAATGAGAAAGGGTAGCAGTTTCGTATAAGTGACAAGTATGGAGTGCTTAGCAATCCTCAATAAATATTTACTGGATGAATGTTAAGTGAGGAATAAGAAGAAATTTAGCTCTAAAAAACTAAATGGGAAAGGCAACAGAGAGAGAACAGATATAGGAAGAAAAAACACATGGAAACAGTTTATGCTTTTCAAATGTTCTGAATAATATTTGGGAATAAAAGCTGTTCTTGCTATGTCTGCTGCTTCTAGTAAGCCTGAAATATTTCTGTGCTGGTCTCTTCTGCCACAGTCGGTCTTCAGAGGAGTAGGTTCTCAGCCAGACTGTTTCTTACCTACTCAGAAGTATGGGAATTGTGGAGATGCTTAGACTCTGACTCATCTTCTAGATCTTTTGCGATGAATCAAATTTACTTGGTGGGCAGCTGTCAAACGTAGAGGGTTACAGGAAATGAGAAATTAGGCTGCTGTAAATACTAAAGTTGTTACAGTTAAGCTAAATCCCCATAAATACAAATTTAATCAGGATATTGGAGGAGTGATTCCTTAAGATCATTAAAATGATTTATATCAAAAAATTAATAAAAAGACCATGGAAAATGGTGAAAAAAGATTTATAATGTACTCCCTACAGAAGAACCCTGTTAATATTTAATAGAGTTCATCCCAAACTTTTTCCTAGGCACATACGTCTTTGTTTTACAAAAACAGATCATATAATACATATTACTCTGGCACCTCCCTTTTACATAACGGTTTTTCTTGGATATTTCTCCATTTACGAAATACACATCCACATTATTTTTAATGGCTGGATATTTGATCATGTGTATGTGTCAAATATATTTCCTTATTATCCCATTAGGTTGTTTACAAATGGTTGCCATTATCAACAATGCTATTATGAACGTACTCTAGCTGAATTTCTGTGCACCTTTTTAATTATTTTATAAGGTAACTTTACTAAATTGGAATTACTGGGACCAAATTATGTACATTTTAAGGTTTATTATGTACATTACCAAATTGCCCTTTAAAATATTATTTCAATTTACATCTGTACCAGCAATGGATGAGAGGAGAAGAGTGTTTAGAATCCCATAATTCTACAAGTGTGATTGTAGAGAATTGAATATATTATTAAGTGTGAGTTTAATTTTGATAGTGTTGGCAGAAAGGGGCACTCAATTATAAATCCCCCAGCCTATAGTTAATGCTTTGTGCTAAAGTCATAAGTACGCGAGCTTCACATTAGATTTCTTAGAAAGGATATTAAGACAGATTCATATGTTCTGCTAAATGTATTCATTAATATCATGGGTGCTGGGATATGACCCATGGATGACCCATTGGATAGCTAGACTGACTTTCTTGCTTGACAAAAATATATTAAGCTCTGCCGCCAAGTATCACCTATTCCTTAATATATGGCTGTGACTAAATATTTGTGCACATCTTTAATGATTGGCTACATGTTAGGCAATTTCTCATTTTTCTAAAGAGAAAACCAAGAAAAAAATTTGGCAAGATTGACTATGTGTGCTTTGAGGGACACATGACATAGTCCAATGTCTACTTGTAATAAGTAATCTATTAAATTTAGATAAATAATACTTCAAAGCACATAGAATATTTTTAAAAGTGTTACTCTATTTCCCACCCCTATTTCATGAAGCAGTTTTAGCCCAAATCCCCCTCCCATGCATCCTTGACATCAGAAAGATACCACCTTTTCAAGCAGTTGGGATATTTCCACCACCTTTCACCTGAAATTCACTCCAAATGCTTTGCAATGCAAGACTTGTGAAACAATGCATGATGCCATCATTGGAAATCTTTTACCAACTCTAGAAACCTACTTCTACCGTCTCCATTAGCCACTTACTCTTTTTTAGTCATCTTTAAGATACTTGTTTTCAACAACATCCAGCATTTCAAATTGCAGCCTCTTAAAATAGTCACTAACTTGGTATTAAATTCATTTGCTTCCATTTTTGATAGTGCCATCAAGTGAATGACTGCTAAAGCCATCCAAAATGTTTCAGGTTAATACAACTTCCCTAAACTGTATTTTGTTCAAAATAAAGTAATTAAGAAAGTTCTGATATTATAAGATCATTTATAAGGACTCTGGTATAAAATGCCTCTTATTTTGAAGCATAATTTGGAGGAAGAAAAAAATCTCACCTTACATTCATCCATATATTATAGTTTAAACAAAAAGAGAGGGGATTCATACAAATCTCTTTTGTGTTCTATGCAAAGTGACTATTGAATATGAAAGCTTTTGTCCAACTATAAAAAATACCTAAAGAATACAGTAGGATTGCAATGCATTTATCTTATATAGAAACACTGAAAATATAGATTCATAAAGCTTGCTGTTTTGAAAATACTCACACTGAAATATTTTAAGAACTGCAGCTTCTACCCGATTTAACCGCCTTCCAACCCCAATCCATGTGTACTTTTAGTTTAATACAAAATAAACAAAAAACCCCAGCAGAAATTATTTACAATAGATATTCTTTTAAAGATCCACAGCTAAAATTTTTGGAACACAAAATGAAAAATTTAGAGAACTCAGTGGCTAGATTTCCCTAAAGTGTTACTCCCTCTTTAAGATATATTATATTGTTTCCATTCTTTTCATCTAAGTATTTCCAAGAGAATCACACTAAAAGAACATATTACAGATTAGGTGGCAGCTCTTTGATTGATATGGTTAAAGATAGCATATGGCGTATTCTTTACTTTCAAACTGTGTTGAGTCTTTGTTCCTGCCCACAGCGGAACTGTATATGAGTACTATCCAGATCTTCCCAATGGTACATGCATGTAATGTGCATCATCTTAAAAAGCGATGAGCATTTTCCCATTGCCTTCTTTATTATTTGAAGTAAATGAAACTGAGAGAGATCAAGCTTAAAATTGTTATACAACTCTAATTCTATAAGATCTTATAATTCCATAAGATTATAAATGCTGTTTGAAAATGTGAATCAGAAGATGCATTTGTTTTAATTCTTGATACTGAAAATATTGACTGAATTGTGAATTAACACATTTAGGGTTGCAGATGTCATTTTTCATGAGATTTCCTGAATGATGTAATTTTCATATTTCATATAGCAGTTTGATCAATTTACAGATTTATTTTACATAATTAGTTAGTAAATGAGAAATTCAATTGCTGATATATAACTATTTCTCTGTAATATAAAAATAAGTTAAAATTCTGAATTATAAATAAAAAGACAAATATTTTGAAGACATCTGGCCCACATCTGTCTGAAATAAGATAATTTAAAACAGTGTAATTAAATGCAAAAAATACTGAAATGTTCACACCTTAGAATGTAAAAAATAACTCATTCCATTTTAATGTGGTTTCTTGAATTGGTTTTTTTTTTTTTTATTTTACTGTCCTTTAGCCTCTCATTCTGTCATTACAGAAAAGACTGACAAGCTAAACAAACAAAAATAATCTGTGTTTTTTCAAAGCCTCTACTAAATGAAAGAATTATCTTTATTACTATTCTTTTATATGTTGACTAACCTCCACCCCTACGTTAATACTCAGCAGACTTAGACTCAGGCCTACCCCCTTTTGATGTATTTATAATTCTCCATTCAATTATTTAAAATGAGAGATTAGTGAGAGAGTCTGTAATCTCACTCCCTAAATTGTGTGTTCCTTGTGTGCTCAAAGAGCCCTGGTAAATGTGAGCGGAAGGTATTCAAACTCATGGAAATGAAAAGCATCTTTGGTACATTCTCATGATCAGTAGAGAATCATCCTTTGAAGGCTAGTGTTTTCTTTTGTTAAAAACGTGAGTTAAGTGGAAAATTAACCACGTGAGGAGAAAGGAAAATATGCGAGACTTTCTACAGTCTAACCAAAAAATGTGAAAAATATGATAGATTTCTCTTTTAATAAAAGACTGCAGAGCCTTAAGACTTCACTAGGAGAGAAGTTCTATTCCTGAAATCACATGGTGCTGATGCTACAATGTAAGACTATAGGGGAAGATGTCTACTTGGACTCCGGAGCCTCCTCACACTAACGATAGACCAAGAAAGGAATTGATGCTGTGAGAAGTAAAAACGCTTTTCCTAACACATACCCTAAGGTGTCACAAATTATAATTTTATATTTATTTCCAGGGAACACGATAAAGATCCAGAGAGTTTTTTTAAGGTATTAATGCATCTGAAGGACTTAGGACTCAATTTCCATGTATCTGTCCTTGGAGAAACCTTCACAGATGTCCCAGGTAACACTTTTGAGTTTTCTAATGTGTATTTTTATAGATGACATAAGCTCTACAACTTAAGTATTAATTTCCATGTCTCTCTTTGTTAGAATCATCAAGATGAGCACTGTTAACCAAAAGATTATACGATGGCATTAAAGTGTGATTCAATTAAAAAAAAAATACTTAAGTAAGCATTCTTTGATTTAAGTTGAGAACGTGAAGTCATCTCTTTTATCAAATATACTTTATACAATGCATCTTGATGTAAATAAAATATATTGCTCTAGGCATCTTTAACACTTAAGGAAAGTGGAGATTTGTAATTGGATAGACAACCTCTCACCTCTGGGGTCACTGGTTTGAATCCTTCTCACATTGGTAATGGCTGAAATACATTACCATCTGTTAGGTGGCCTGTGTAAAGTATTTTGGCATCAAACTTATAATGAGAAATAGACCACAATCTATATCATAGTGTCATTTACCCATGCCTTTTTTATTAAACTTGAGAAAACAAACAAAAATCTGAAGCTGGTCTTCTCATACTTAACATCACGTGGAACATTTTCAGAGTCATTTCTTTTACTTTGCGTCCTCATGGGGCATGTTTAGATCAGTAACCTGAGCATCCTGACTCCTTTCATAGCACATAAGTTGTTTAAACTTTGGGCGGTCAGGATTTTTTTTCTTGGAAATTCCAAATAGGGGGCCTCTCTGGTGGTACAAGGGGTTGAGTCTCAGCACTATCAAGCTATAGCCAGCCACTGCAGCAGAAGTTCGAGCCCTGGCCAGGGAGCTACCCACATGGTGCAGCAGACCTCTCCTGTCTCGCCCACTGCTCCCCTCAGCAGTGTATTTCAGTAGATCTGCCTGTTCTGCTCCCCACTCTGTCTCTAAACCCTCTCACTCCCTGCATCTCTGGCCTACACCCCAGTTCTTATGTACATAAACAAGTAAAAATAAATCTTTTTTTAAAAAAAGAAAATTCCAATTATACAGACAACAAAATTTTAGAAATGACCTCAGCCATCATGCGTTATGACTCTCAAGGACCATTTCGAGTTTAGCCTCACTTGCTAGGAACATCTTGATTCTGGTACGATGCTGGGAACTATACTCAGCATGTACTTCAGGAGCCTCATCTGATGGGACTCACCTCCTGTCCTCTGTGTTCACAAATATCAACCTTTTTTTTCAATTCCTCTGAGGAGCCAGCTTTCTTTAGGACCCTGGACATTTGCCTGTTTGTTTGTACTTTATCTTAACTCAGAGGCTTTTTTTTTCTCAATATGTAGCTTTGTCATGATCTTAAGACACCCCATGCTTTTACCTCATGGTGCGTACCTGAGTTTCTAATTAAATAATTATATGTAATTTTTAATATCACTTGCACACACACTCATGCACACATATTATGAACAAGAACTATGGTTCATCACTGTCCTACAGAGCCTAGTACCCTGCCAGGTATAATACAAGGACTCAGTGACTATTTGTTGCATCAAAGGGGTAGTAAAAAATAATATAAACTCCCTGCCCTCATATAATTTATAGTTTTCTTGGGAAGGAACACTTGTGCATAAGTGCAGGAGAGAGTGAATCATGAGATAATATAATTGTATATTAACACTGACACATGTGGCTTAGAGTAGAATGTTAATTAAAGAGCTAATACTTGAACAGCCAAAGGATTAGGATATTCCAAAAGGGAAACATCGGCAAAGCATATAGAAGCAAACATTTTAGAGATTGTATTTAAATGAGAGAACAACTTCAGTGGGGTTGCTAATATAAATAGAACAGGAGATTCTGCATGTAAACCTTAATAAATAATTAAATGCACCTTACACAGCTTGAGAAGGATCAACGGATGAAGGGTCTTGATAACCAAAGCATCTTCGGTAGAAGTAAGCAATAAAGAGCCTAGATCTTGAACAGGTCAAGAAAAAATACCTTAGGAAGGTTTATCTTGCAGTGATATGGAGGTGGTGGCTGAGAGATTAGTGAAATTAGTGAGAGGACTGGATAAGAGAGAGGAAAACGCAGGGGAGAATTTGGTAGATGAATGCCTAGAGAGTAAGAAAGTTCATTTGCAAAGCTGGTGAGCTTAGTATTGTTTGTGCCAGCTTGGAAGTGTTTGTGGATGAACTGAGAAAAGAGACTGGAGGAAACCCCTAAGCAGAAGGCTTCTTAGTCAGTTTTAGTTTGGGTTGCTTTAGGCCACCACTACAAAGAAGACTTACAGTATTCTACTCAAGGGCCATGTTCACATGGGGAGACCATAATCGCCCCTCCCATACATTAACATGAAGCTTTTTAATATAGTGAGGCGCCATGGACTGAGGTGGCTGCAGGAGGGGGTCCAATGCTCAGTAATTACAACTCCAATCTTATTACTCATTTAATCTTCACTTCAACATGCACTTACTGAACATTTGTGGAAGGGGGATTCCATGGTGAACAAAACTGAGTCTCCCCCTTCAAGTAACTCTGCCTTGGGGTGATACTTACATTATTAAGAGGACACTGAAATAATTAAGGACTTCTGTGGAAGCCTCTAGCAAGAGGCATCATATTATTTATGTACACATTCCTGTTACTCCCAGTCTCAACTGGGGCTGCTTTCAGTCTTAGCTCTGGTCCATTGCTGTCATTTCTAATGTGCATCAACTCTCATTGTGGCTACACTTCCCCTCTCATGTTGGGGAAGCCCAGGTTGTTAAAACATAAATAAGCTTGCTAGCTTTCCAGTTGTGCGACAGAAGGCCACTATGCCCAAGTGGCCTTCTTTATTCCCAAGGTTTTCTAACAGGCTACTCTGTGTTAACTCTGGCCATTCTTATCACATTCTTATCAATTACACATCGCTGACTATACCGAGACATTGTTCTCAGCTATTACAAATATTAATTCTTTCGTGCTTCGTAACAGCCTCATTCAGTTTCCTATCTCAACTTTTCTTAGGTATGAAAAACTGACACACAAAGAAATTATGTAAGGTCAGCCAGCTAGGTAGTAGTTATAACCACTATGCTGTCCTACCTTTCCATTTTCTTGTTTTCTAACCCAGCTGTTTCTCTAGGTTTAAACATTATTCTTTTCCCCAACTAACATCCAGCACTCTACAAAAAGGGGTAATAAGAAGGTATATATTTCTTTTCCTGTTGTCTTTTCTAGGTGCTACATTAGCATATCTAATGCCCATGTCATGCAGCTTATATACTGGATAATACCAGCCAGAAGAATCACTGCAACACACATCTGTAAGGAAGGTCCCATGCTATTTAATTGCTGCTATTTATTGAAAAATTTGCTTCATCCCTGGTGCTTTGCCAGGTAATTCCATGTGACGTTCATGATAATCCCAATGGAGTAGGAATTATTGCCCCATTTTATAGAGTTCTGAGATTTAAGACATCAGTGGTTTTGATTAGTGTACCTGTAAGTCATGCATTTGTCCTTCACATAAAAGCCTTCATAGATTTAGCCAAGAAAAGTTGAATGTATCACTTGAGGACCACTACTCTTTATCCATCCCTCTCCTCAGAGCTCCTAGGAAACTGTTATATCTCTGAGTGATGACATTAGTGCCAATAAGACTTACTTCCCTTTTTGAGGAAACAAAATATCATCATTAAGTGCCTTTTCAAAATAGAACATGCTATGATAAATAAATATGTAGAAGAGTCTCCATACTGTTGATTATTTTCCAGTAGATTGATTATGCTCAAATTATGTTATAAGGTTCTTATAATCCTTTTTCTCAAAAGTGTGATATAATTGATTCAGATTTTTAACACATTTGTATCATCCTTCAGTTTTACAAAAGACACAGAGATTTCGGACATTGACTGTCCCACATTCTCCATTTCACAGTGGGTGCAGGGGGCAGTAACAGTGACAAGGTAGAACTGGGAATTGGTCTCATCATCCCTACTTACTTCTGTATTTGTTCAATAATGTTTTTAACTATCTGCTCTGTGCCAAGCACCAAGCTAGACATTAAAAACAAAATAGTGACAAAGCAGACATGTTCTGTGACATTTGGAACTTGCCATCGAACACCATAGTCATCACTTATGAAAGACACTTCTTAAAAATGTTAAAATTAATGTTTCCTGAGCATTTAGCATGTACCAGGTATTGTTCTAAGCCCTTTATGCATTTATGCATTGCCTTATTAACCTTTCACACAGCCCTGCGAATTGGGCATAATTATGATTACCATTTTATAGCTTAGAAAAGCAAGGCAGAGGTTAAGCCATTTGCCTGAAATCACCCATCATCCAGGTATGATGCCCCAATTCAAGCCTTGTCAGTCTACCAACACTGCCAGTGCTCAGCCACCACTCCACATGGATGTCCACAACATTTCTACCTGTTTTGTAGGTGAGAAAGCAGGAGGTGCTAATGGTGGGAAATTCCTGGCCATTCCTATGAAATAATTTCCATTTTCTCTGATAATCTTGCAAATAGGAAGTTTAAAGAAAAACTGAAATCCATGCCCTAAATATCTCCCCCTTAGATGTTAGAGTATATTCCCTCTTTTTCTTCCATGTTTTCATCACAAGGTTTCAAAAACAGTATGAAGTGGGAAAGAATTCCAAATAACATTTGACATATACTTAGTATTCAATAAGCATTATTTGAATGGATGAAATAATGAATTTGGCATAATAAAATGATACAGTTTACATACCTTATAAGGTATGTACAAATAAACAATGATATGATTTCCAAATACTAAAGAATTAGTCGATGAAAATAGAGAAATTTGCTGGACATACCCCAGAGATTTAAGGAGACTGTAGGTGCTTTTATATGATATTCTCAGTTTTAATGTATGTAACTTGATTTATAATAAATCTGTTTTTCAGTTATTTGATTATCTTTCAGCTCCTCCATCAGTCAGAATAAGTTGTGTTATGCTAAGCTAACAGATGATTTTAACTCTCGATGGCTTAAAGCATGTAAGATTTATTTCTTACTTGTGCAATGTCTTTGCAACTAGGCAATGG